TTCCATGTGGAAGAGGGAGCAGCCACAAGGCTGGACAGGGCCTGAGACAGGCTGCCTAGGGCCTACCATGACACCAGCATGGCAGGACAGGCAGGGGAGGGAGGCCTAACTCTGTAGACTGGACATGTATGGAGGATCCTCGGTGGCCTGGGAGGCCCAGGCCAGGGCTCAGAGAAGGACTCGAAGCTAGGAGTTTAGAGAAGCCTTGTGGAGGGATGGCCAGTGTAAGAGATGCACTTTGGCAGGAGTGAGGGTTGGGTAAGAACCTCACACCCCTCATGACAGCCTACACGGTGCTGGGGACTACCCTGGTCCCCACCACAAGACTCTAGCAGATGCATCACCTCAGGGCTCACCCTGGGCAGGTAGGAAGGACAGGGCAACACCCTCTGCCCTGACAGTCTCAGGGTGACCTTCAGAGTCTCAGGGTGACCCCGTCTCCTCTCGGGACCTCATCTGGGGCCCCTTCTCAGCCCCAAAACACTGGGAACAGAAGACAGGGGAACATGGAACCCTTGCCTCAGCCCAGGCCAGTGACCAGGGAGCAGGAGCTTGGGTGCAGGGGCTCTGTGACTGCAATCAGACCCACACCCTGATCCCAGCACATCTTCTTCTGGGCTAAGTGTGGGAGCCCTGGGAGACACAGGCAGGGAGGGGTTTGACAGCAGAGACATTCCTGGGGCTGCTCTGACACCCAGTGGTGATTCTTGGAACCAGCTGCTCCCCAGCCAGGAAGTAGGGCAGGGGGCAAGTAAAGAGGGAGCAGGGGGTGGGATGGGAGGGAGGTTGAGGCTGGAGGGACCGGGAGAGAGGGTGGGAAAGGTAGGAGGAGGAAGTCTATTTTAGGCCAGTGGTTCTCAAGACTTGAACTTGCAATGGAATCAAGTTGGCTGACTTGCTGATTCAGGTCTGGGCTGAGCCAGAGTCTGTATTTCTAATAGATTCCTGGGTGCTGCTGGTGGTCTGGGATCACACTCAGAGAACCACTGGTCTAGGAAAGACATGGAGTGGAAAAGAAGGAACATCCGTGCTACTGTTGTGTGTCTGTGGGCTGGTCCTGCCGTTGTTGTGCCCAGACTTGAGGAGGCCATGCGACGATCCCATAGTGCTGGCCCCAGAGTCCTTCCCGTGGTCCCTCCGGCACATGTGCTGAGCAGGTATAGCCTCCCTTGTCCCTGCCATCCCCACCTGGGCATGAGAGGCAGCTCCCGAGAACTGGGATGATCAGCCTCCACAGGCACCACACCCGCAACACCACCCCACAAGGACCCAGGGCCTCAACCTCCCCCTGTACCTGGCACACGTTCCCTGGGCCCATGAGATGCTCACTTGGCCTCGGACAGGTCCCCGAAAGAACTAGGCGGGGCCCTGCCTAAGGGGCTGCTCAGGAGCACCCAAGGCTCACTGCCCGTTGGGGGATGACCCTGCTTGAGGAACGTCATCTGGATGACGAGGGCTCGGGGGAGGTGCCCCTGACCTGATTTACCACTGGCCAGGCAGAGGAACAGCCAGGAGCTGTGCAAAGCCAGTGTCAAATGCCTGCCTCCCACTGTGTCGCTCCCTTCCTCAGTGTTTTGAGCTGGAAGAGGAAGAAAGGCTCCCTAGGATGTCAGTAGGCACAGCAAGGGTGGAAGGGAGATGCTACTGGCAGAGGGGAGAGGAAAGCAGAAGTGGTCCGGGCAGGTAGTGCTTGGAGAAGCTGGGACCAGGGGCGTCGAGGCTGGAATGAATGCCTTGGGGACTGGTGAAAACTCAAGACTCCAGGCCACCCTGGACCCCTCCGGCCTTTCTGGGCTTGAGCCCCAGAGATATGCACTTGTCCTCAGCACCTGGGCACCGCAACCTCACTGTTCCTGAGCCAAAGCATGCCACATACCACAACCCAGGTAAGGCAGGGAGGTCTGTTCCTCCCAGCAGCTGAGGAGACAAAGTAAGTCACACAGAAGCAGGCAACAATGTATAATTCTCAGCGAAGGGAGAGGAGAAGCAATCAGGGGCAGTGATATAATCTGCCACAATGCCCAGTAAATACCTGATAGGATGAATGAGTTTAACAAATGTTTGAAATGACTACATCCGTTGCTGGAAAGCGTGACTGTCCTTCTCTAGGTCCAAACCTGCCCATCAGTTGTTAAGTAGGGAAAGAAATAACTAAACAAGAACAACAAAATCTGTGACCAAATGGCATTTGTGTTGTGTGAACCAGTAATTTACATGTAATTTGCAAACACCTACTGTACTAATCCCTAAATATCTTGCAAGTAAGGGTTAATAGAAACTGATTTCCATTGAGTGTCTAGGATAGTTGGCCATTATTATCTGCCATTTACTGTATGTTCATCAGGAACTGTAGTTAGGGCAGCTTCTTCCTGAACTTGGACTACGCCCTGTAGCCAGGGCCATGTAACTCTCACCACTGGACTGTGAAAACGTTGAGCATCACTGCCAAGCTGAGGAATGGGTCTATCTTCACCATGTTTCTCTTCCAGCGGGATGTAGAAGCATCCATGGAAGGACTCCAAGACAACCAGATGGAAGCCAGTGTGGTCCCTGAATGACAGCCTGGGACACAAGTCTCCCCTTCCTATTCAAACCACAGAACTGGGACTTAAACAGTAAAGCTTTTGGCACTCAGCTCCTGAGATCTGAAGTGGCTCAGCAGTCAGCCTCTGCATACAGTGATGCCGACTCTCACTTCCAGGTCTTGGTGTGATCCTTCGGGTGGAGACTAAGGTAAGAGCTTTGGACAGTTATGCTCCAGGGAAGCCTGTCATCCACTAGTTCCACATAGCCAACAAAAACACAACCCTTTCAAGAGCCCCACACTGGGATGAGTAACTTTTGTACAATATCCTTCATTATATTAGCAATAGCAAAAGTCAAATAGGTACTGGACTAGATCAAAGAATAAATCAAGAGAATGAGGAAGTTGTTTTTTTTTTTTTGAGGAAGTTATGTGCTGATATGGAAATACCTCAGACCTGTTATGTGGGGAAAAAATGAAGTATAGAACAGCAGACATCAGCAGTTTTCAAGGTATGATCCAAGGACCCCTGAGAGTGCCCAAGATCCTTTCAGAGAGTCTGGTAGGTCCTCCCTTTCCAACTACATGTCTATGTGCAGCCAGATTTCCTTCTATTCCTCAGCTAAAAAACAAATCACAATAGACTGAATGCAGAAGCAGGAGAATCCAGCTGTTTTCTATTAAACCATATGCTAACATTTTTTCAAATGTGAAAACGCTTTGCCTCACTGATTTTTGTTTTAGAAAGTATTTTTTATAAATTCTAGGTTTAAAATGTCACAATAGGTTTATCTAAGTTTTTAGTTTCTGAATTTTATAGTATGATAAATATTGATAAATATAACTCACATTTAAAAAGCTCTTTTGGGGGGTGGGGCGCCTGTGTGGCTCAGTTGGTTAAGCATCTAGCGTCTGCCATCAGCCTTCAGCTTCAGGTCATGATCTCTGGGTCCTGGGATCAAGCCCCCCCTCAGGCTTCCTGCTCAGCAGGGAGTCTGCTTCTCTCTCTCTCCCTCCCTCTGCCACTCCCACCACTTGTTCTCTAATAGAAAAATAAAATCTTTAAAAAAATAAAAATAAAAAGCTCTTTGCAGGGCGCCTGGGTGGCTCAGCTGGTTAAGCATCTGCCTTTGGCTCAGGTCATGATCCTGGGGTCCCTGGATCGGACCCCCACACACACCCCTATCAGGCTCCTGCCACACGGGAAGTCTGCTTCTGCCTCCCCCGCTCCTGCTCTCTCGCTCACTCTCTCTCAAATAATTAAAATCTTTTTAAAAAATAAAAAGCTCTTTGGAGGCCTCCAAAAATTTAACAGTATAAAAGGATCCTGAGTCTAAAAAATCTGAGTACCATGGGTGTATACACCACCCTTTGTGTAAAAAGGGGAGAAAAATATCTTTGTACTAGCTTATACATGCATGAAGGATCTCATGAAGGATAAACCAGTAGTGGTCGTGGTTAAGCAAAGAGAGAGTAGGAAAAGGGCAGGTGGGAAAACCCCTTACTGAATCTCTCATTTTTTAAAAAAATTCTGGAGCTATGTATATGTATAGCCTATTTAAAAAAAAAAAAAATGTTTTATAAAGAGCTGGAAGCAGCAGGGGTCAGCCTGGCAGTAGATGGGGACAAAGTCAGCCTGGAAAGGGGAAGGGCTGTAGTCTGTGTATGGAGTGTCTACCCTCCTCCACATCCAGAAATCGTCTCCAGGCAAAATTCTGGAGGATTCTTCTCTAAAGAGGTGAAACCAAGAGACCCAGGGCTTCTAGTATGAGATTCTTCATCTTAAACTATAACATGCAACCATGTATCACCATTTAATCAAAGTCTGCAACAGGTGAGGTAAACAGAAAAACTAGCCCAGAGGAAACCAAGGTAATTCAGGATCTAAAGAAAATTCAATTTTTAAAAACAACAAAAAACACAAAATCATGCACCCCAAAATACTGGAGAAGTTACTGAACCCACACTGCCAAGTGGATCTGGTTGAGGACAATGATACCGTCAGTTTTCTAATTCTTAGAAGAATTACTGCACATGCCATTCATATGTTCTTGTGGAAATTATACCTTATTTATATGCACGCGGCAGAGAGAGAAAGAATGTACTTTAGTATCAGATACAAACCCATTTCACTTACTACCTGTGTGCTCCTGAGACAAGTATTTAACTTCTGAGCCTCAGTTTCATCCAGTATAGCCTGGATGATACCTGCCTTACAGTTGACTTCAAGACTTTAATGAGTCATTGTTTTCTGATGTGGTAACGCATTCCCCAGCACTTAGGGCATTCTCAGTAAGTGCCATTCTTATTGCCCATGATGCAGCAGAAATAGCTGACAGTATGTTACTGTAAAATAACTGAAAAAAAAAGATTGGTGGTTGTCAAAGTCGGGGGTGGGGAGTGGGAGAAATGGGGTAAGCTGGGTTTTATCTTTTAGTTCAAATAAATTAAAAAAAAAAGTCACAATGAAACATGCTTTATGGTTAATCATTTAATGTATTAACATTTTCACTTATAAACATACAATTTGCACATATAGGGAAAAACAGGTTCTGTGGACACAAGAGAATACAAGAGACAGGGAAGCAATCAGAAAATAGATCGATTCTAGGGGGAAAAAAATGGACCTGCATTCCAAGTCTCTGTCTACATAAACTTGGGAAGGAGAAAGAAAAATGAAACAGGATCATAACTGATGTAGAAAATAAAGTTGGGACATTCGTCTCAAACACAGGAACGTCTCCTTATGATCCAGGTCTTGGGGCCTGGCCTGTTTCAGGATGATCATCTGAAACACAGCCACTGCTCTCTTCCTTCTCTTTACTATGACCCGAAGTGCACTCCAGGAATTAAAAGAAAAATCAGATCGGCATGTGTGCAATGTCAGTGGCCAACTTCTTCCAGGTACATTATACAGAAGTACATATGAACGCGGAATGCTTACTCACACCTGAACAAGTTCCTTCCACCTCATCTAACTTGTTGATTTAGGATTACATAAATTGAGGTGATCACAGAGTTAACATCTTTGGAAGTTGGACCAGGGAAATGAAGTATCTCAGCCCATCTTTATAACTACTATGCATTTCATATCAGCATCAAGTCACTGGCAACAGTGAATTTCCAGGCTCAACTATGTCTGCCCAATCAGGCTGGCCAACAGGGTGCACAACATGTGCCCAAGCTTCAATTCACACCTCCCCTTCTGTCAGTGGGGGGACTCTGCTTCCTGTGCATTTCAGTGACATAACTTAGTAGTCTGTGGTTCCAGTAACTCCAAGTTCAAAATTAATACCCCAATGCAACATTAAAACTGTTTAATATTTTATTAGTAAAGCATCCAGCTCCAGTAATGACTACAATCTCAACAAAGCCATTCTTACTATATAGGATGTAAAATCGTAAAAGCAACATTTTTAACCATCAAAACCAGTGTTGTCACACATCATGTGGCAATTTTCTACCATCCAAAATACCCAAAGAGGTGACAGTCAAGTGCACCTCCTTTCAGCTAGATACAGACTCTACAGTAGCAGCAGGTTCACCAGAACTGTCCAGGAAAGGTCGCTTGGCAGATGGCTTCATATGCAGATCTATTTAAGTCTGCTCAGAGTTGGAATCAGTTGACCAGTAAAACAAATGAGCTATATAAGTAACTGGCCACAGAAAATAAAAACATTCTGTGACACTAGGAGCGTATTTTGTGGAAACAGGGCCACACGGAGTGCGAGGACAGGCACTACTACTGTGCTAAATTGCCTTGGTAGAAGTACATTTTTTAAAGCATGCAGGACAGAAAACTGGACTAATTAGAAGCTTTAAAAATTCACATAAATAAGAGAAGTGCAGGATTATGGGTTTTCCAGAGCTTCACACATAGCTGGGGCTCAAAATTAAATGTTTAAGCTTCTCTGTGACACCTGAGTCAGGAATAAAAACAAAGCTGGCGCCCTGGTCAGGTTCACTAATATCTTGACAGCAAGTCATTCAAGTCCTTAGGCTTCATTTCCCATCTCTAACCTGAGTCTCCCCCACAGCCATGGTCCAAGAGCCCTCACTATGCCACCACCAGGGCTCCATGCACCCTAGTGCTTGGGGACAGCCACAGTGCCCCAGTCCTGCACAAAACAGGACACCTGCTTTTTAATAGCCTTCAGAAAGATGGGAAAGAGCATCCTCTGCACAGTGCAATCTCTGGAGGCCTAACACAGTAACACTGTAAGTATGGCTCTCATTCCATTTTCCTCACCATTCTTCTAATAGCACTTTCTCAACAGGCAGAAAAATAAGCTATAAGTAGGCTGAGGTGGCAATAAAAATACTCAAAGCAGACACTAAAAACATAATGTCTCTGAATAAAGCAAATCTATCTCCACATACTTTAACTGTTTTGCCTTCTTCAAGTTTTAAAGGATAAAGCCCTAAAACTTTGAGGCTCAAGTCAATTCCTAATGTGGGATATTTTCCAAGTATCGCTACCAAGAAAACAAAGAATAAAATGAAGAAGCATCATTTTAAAGGGGGAGGGGGAGGGAGGGCTGCCCCTCCCCCACCATCCTGAGCAGTCACTGGCCCCATAGATCGTGGGAATACCAACCCCACTGCCTCAGGGAAGTTCCTGAGAGCTTACCAGCTCATAATTCCTCAAGTTACATGCAGCCAGTTCTGATCTGAGGCTTGAAAGTTTGATATTAAACAGAAAGAAGCTGCAGTTCTCCTTGCCACATAACTCACTCATACATCACCATACTATTAACATAACACTAAAGTAAACTGTCCCTTAAGCACTACACCTAACTGAAAAGAAAACGCCTTTCAAAACAGGTATGTTCAAAATAAGGTATTCCGAGAGTTCTATAAACAAACTCCTGGAATGAGCCAGTGCCCCAGAGTCATGTTTTAGCTAAACAGAAATCAGAAGCCTTCTCTACAGTACGTGTATGGATTAGTTATAACTATGATGTCACCACTTTCAAAAGAACTATTCAAACTATTATTAAAAACATTTATCACCAACAGAAAACACCCTGCAAATTATAGTATTGCACACAGGGCATCAGAAGCTATGCATATCCAGATCTGAAGGACTCTAGAAGACCCAGAACAGAGACCCTAAGGCCATGCCCGTGGCTGCCCCAGCCAGCATGCCCAGTGCCAGATCACTGTCGCTGTCTCGATACCGCTCCCGAATGATGACTTGGTTGGCAGGCTGTTGTCCATAAAGTCCTAAAAAAGAAGTACAAAAGCAGACGTTGTAAGGAGCAGTTTACGTCCAACATTCCCTCAGAAAGACAGTGTGTCCTGAGAATGGTAAAGGCCACATCTCCCTGCATGTGCATCCCTCCTGCTGTCTTCCTCTGGAGAGGTATGTGGGGTGGCTGAGTGGTTGCTCTCCAGCTCTCCTCCACCAAAGGCTCAGGTGACAGTTTCTAAGACTATACCAAGAGGAAATCAAGGTGCTCAACTTTCCAAGATCCAAAGCCCCAACCACTGCAAACAGCAGGATCCTCATGAAGCTGTAAGCTCCAGCTTCCAATGTCCACTTCTGCCTTCCACATCATGCTCATTAGTATGACAGATAGATGGGGGATAGCGTGGGAGAGACACAGAGCCTACAGACAAGGCGAGAGCCAAGAATCTGTACCTAAAGCTAAAAATGTAAAACCCATTTGAAAGCTAATTAGTTTCTTGATATTCATGCAAACCATTTTTAAATTAAACCTTAAATCCACTAATACAATTTGCTCTTCATTTTTAATCATGTCCTTATGGGGGAAAATACTTAGAGGGAAAAACTTCTAAAAAGCAAACTTTAAACACATTTAACATTTAATTTGCATCATTAAAGTTTACAACTGGAAATGTATCACTGAACAAAGAGAACATCTTCTGTACTTCACAGCTACATTGTCTAACAGCTAATGAGCTTTAAAATTACTCAAATATAAATAACGTTAACTTTCCTCCCTGACCTGCTGTTCCCTTAACAATTCAGTCCTATGGGAGCTAGAAACTAATCCAAGAGTAATGTATACATGTAGGTGAAAACCAACAGCAAAATAAGATTTATAAATGCTCATCACTCTAAGCATTTACAGTACTACAAGCATTTACATGTACTGACTCACTTAATCCTCACAATATCCTTGTGAATTGAGTTTATTATTATCCCCATTTTACCAATGGGCAAAAGTGAGGCACACAGGGGTTAGAGGCTGTTAAGGGCATGCAAACCCAGGCATTGGGCTACAAAGTGTGCACTCATAACCACTAATGTCTCAAACAGACGGAGAAGGATAGGAGAGAAAAAAACCCAAAGCCACAGAGGAGTAGAATGAGACCATTATAAACCTAAGGGCTGATCAAGTACAGGTAACAGCACTGGAAGTCAACAATCTTTTACCACAATGTTTAAATCTCAAAATTGGTGAACTGTAATATTTACTTTCACAGCCTTGAAAGTTAAAAGTTTTCAATTAGGCAACTGTAACTATGAAATGTAGGATAGTAGAAACTAGTAAGCTGACTTAATTAAAAGATCCCTTAGACGATCTAAATCTGCATTCCCCTCAGTAGGTTACACCAAGGGACTCCCATACCACATGACCAGGAGAGCCCTCTCCTGTAGCTCGTGCTCACCTCTGCTCCTACCAAGGAGGGAAGTCCTTACCCAAGTCAGTTGGGGACATTTCCAAGTTGTATTTATTGTAATTACCTAATAATTTAACTAAGCTTTACATAAATGGTCAAAATGTGAATGTGAAACAGACAGATATTATTTCCCCAGGATAACTAAATTAGATACTTTAGGGAAGACTAAAAAAAGGCAGGTAACATTTACAAATTACTATAAAAGCAAGGAACTGAATAAATTATAGAAGAATCACAAAATCTGGCCTTCTCATTTGTACTTGCCAAGGGAAACTGCAGGGCAAAAATGCGTCATGAGTACAATCTCTACAAGACAGAAAACTCCAACCAAAGGAGCCAACTCAAAGCAAAGACCTAGAGCCTATATATCAAAAGACAGTTGAACAACTGTCCACTAATGTGGGTAAATCAAAACAGAATACTTATAGTGTGTACACAGCACCCTTTGTATTTGTTAAACTGGCTGACTGACCACTAGCTCCAATCATATTACAGAGAAGGCCTTGGAGCATCTGGCTGACTCAGTCAGTACAGCATGGGACTCTTGGTCTTGGGGTCTTTACTTCAAGCCTCACGTTGGGTGTGGAGATTAAAAGTAAAATCTTTGAAAAAAAAAAAAGAGAGAGAAGGCCTTTATTTAACCTGCTCTACACAGGATGAGGATGTCTATGAACAATGGAAGGCAGTATGTCATGAAGTTGGCAAAGCACCGGGGTGTCTAGAAGAGCTGACTGAGGAGCTCCAGTATGGTTATCAGCACAACACTACTGTGGAATGACCACAAACCAACTCGCCCCTCCAGAGCAAGTACACCTGCTAGCTGGTCATAATGCTAATGCTGAAGGACGACCTACAGACTCTGCCATTTGCAGCAGTATCTTGAGGGTGCCCACTGAGAGTGCTATCTATCTCTTTTCCTATGAGGCAAGTCAACGGCAAAGACAGAATCTGATTTACAGAAATTCCCTTCACAAGTACTTCTGCAAAACTTCAGCTCTTCTGAACAGTAAGAAACAGCTGAGATTACCCCAGTCTGGAAGTCTGGCAGCTGAATAAGAAAGAGGCTAGCTCTCATGGCTTGGTTAGGCTAGGGCTTAAAAACCCACCACCAACTCCAAGATAAATGAGCAAAGAAATCAAATTTATAAACAATCATACCATGTTTATCTTCACCAGTCATCAGAGAAAAGTAAACTAAAGCCACCTGACAATCCACTTTAGACCTAAAAACTTTTAGAGCTAACAACAATAGGAAATCTTTCAGGACAACTGAGAAACCAGTGTTTCATGAACTCCTAGTGGTGTTAGAAACTGGTAAACTGTTCTGAGAATCAACTGGGTAAATGGTATTAAGATTTATTGTCATCTTTCAGATGAAATGATATAAAGTCCAAATTTCCCTCAAAACCATCTGGAGATAAGGAAAGGAGATGGAGGTGAAAGAAAATCAGGCATGATGTAGTGACTGAAGCTGGTAATGGACAAATGACAGTTAATTAAACTATTGTCCCTACTTTCGCATGTTTGAGAACTTTTATAAATCTCAATGGTATCAAAAGAAATATAAATGTCTATGCCCCTTTACATATTAACTTAATAAACACAAATAAAAAATGTATTCTAAAACATATTTAACAGGAATGAAAAAGAAAATCATTAGATGTTTAAAGTAATATCTACCGGGGGCGGAGCAAGATGGCGGAGGAGTAGGAGACCTGGATTTCGTCTCCTCTCAGGAATTCAGCTGGACAGGGATCAAAACATTCTGAATACCTACAAACTCAACAGGAGATCGAAGGAAAGAATAGCAACAACTCTCTCATCAGAAAATCGACCACTTTCTGGAAGGTAGGACGTGCGGAGAAGTGAATCCGAGGCGATATTCGGGAGGATAGACGGCGGGGAAGGGGCCTCCATCGGCTGCTTCTGGCAAGTGATAGAGCCGCGGAGCACAAAATC